AAGTTACGAAAGAATTAAGTTAAGAGTGTACGAAACTTTTCGAAACAAATGTCAATATTGCCAGCAATAAATCGGAGCTGTTGTAAGTAGTTGATTAAGTAGAACTTAAATACTTTGAATCAAGAGGAGTAGATTTTTTTTAAATGTTTATCAATTCAAAAATGCTATGAATCAAAAATCTTATGATTTCGAAACATTTTTGAAATAATATTGAATTATACGAAAATGAAATCTTATTTGTACTTTATTTTTACCCTTTTCTGCGCACCTTTCGCAACGCTTTTTTATGCGATTTGTTTTGCAAGACTTTCTTAACGGTCGTGTACTTTCAGAAGACCTAGAGAATTGTTTCCGAGAATTTTAGATAACGCCGCCGACACGACAAGGCGTTTCGCGCGTTTTAACGTTTCACGAGCGACTGAATCTGAGCGAACCGCCCACTTAATGAGACCCACTACGACGCCGCCGCCTATATTGACAGCGCCAGCAGCGGTGGTGGCAGCAGCAGCAGCAGCGGCAGCGGCAGCGACAGCGACGATGAACGCCAAAGACCCCAAGCGCTTGAAATCACGCGAGTTGCGAGCGCTAGCATAAAAAAGTCAGAGTAAAAAGGCAGCAACAAGTGCCAAAGTGTCGATCAGGCATATAACTATGTATGTAGCCAAAAGTTGTGCATAGATATATACGAAATGATTCTCTCAGTGTTTCTGTCTGTTCAATGCATTCGGCTATGAATGGACAGCGCGACAAGTTGAATGCGATTGCGAAAACCTTTGCAGAGGGCAGAGAGGTGCGGCCCGCAGGGGAAAGGGTATTTGGTATGGCAAGAGGCCGGTCAGCGATGTCACGTTTATATATTTTTTTGTTGCTTTTGTTTTTGTCGTTGCTGTCTTCAGTTGGCAGCTGTTAATGAGGCGTTAAAAAAATGTAAGTGAATTAACAATATATACATATGCATATATATATATATATATTTTATTTTTGGCAGGGAAATTTTATATGCAGTCAACGTTCTTTTTATTGTTACTGCCATTGTTAATTGTTTAAAGCTAGTTTAAATATGTTGCCGGCCAACGTGTCGTATGCGCAATATAATAAAAGTCAATAGAACACCTGGCTATATGGGCTAAAAGTTTAGTTAGCCCAAGAGAAAAGTTATGCCAAAGGAATGCTCAATGAAGTGTATGTATTTATTTGAATTGTATTCATTTTAAACCTTTCTGTACTGCAAGCCGGAAATGTAAATAATTAGCGGAAATAAACACAATAATTAAATGCTGCGACGAATTGCATTTGCTTGAATTACATTTAATAAACGTTAATTTTATGCACAGTGAGACAACTGTCAGGAGCCTTGAGATGTATAATCAAGTTATTTTAGGGCTTTTTAAAGCATGAAATCGTTTTAGCCGCCTGCCGAAACCCATTCAAAAACCTTATCGAATACGTTTTATATTACCCTTTAAGCACTTGAAAGCCTGGCGCTTTACGTTTAAACGCGTTCGAGCAATGAAACCGAACTGAATGTGTCAAATTCAAGCTAAACTACTTGAGTACCAATTGACATCATTATCATTAACTTTATCAGAGTAATTCACGGGCATAGATTAAACCCCAGTTGCAGGCAATAACAATCCGATAAGATGTTTACAGGTACACATGTTAAACACGAGCCATATAAATCTTTAGATATCAGTCAAGACAACGTTTGGCAACAGCACTCGTAAACTAGCTATAAATCTATAAGTTAGCGAATTTCAGCTTCACATAACTGCGTAAAGCTGATATGTAGTGCTATGTGTATATATATGGGCGAGTAAAGAACTTTGAATTTTCGAAATAAATTGCCAGATGCGATTTAAAATAAAAAAAAAAACAATTTGCGCGCTTGTTTAGCACGTACACAAAACCGCCAAATACAATTTCGCACCGTGGCCGCAAAGTATGCAACTAAAAAATACTTAAAATGGAGATTGATCGACTTTCAGATACCCTTCACTTTATTAATAATAAAAAAAAAAAAAAAGATAAATTAAAAATAAAACCAAGACTCTTGACCAAATATGTAGATGACCTTTTTGCCATAACTAACAAAATAGAAGTGGAGAAAATTCTAAAAGAATTGAATTCCTTCCACAAGCAGATCAAATTTACCATGGAATTAGAAAAGGACGGGAAATTACCATTTTTAGACTCTATTGTAAGCAGAATGGACAACACACTCAAAATAAAGTGGTATAGGAAACCCATAGCCTCCGGACGAATACGCAACTTCAATTCAAACCACCCAAAGAGTATGATAATCAATACAGCACTAGGCTGTATGAATAGAATGATGAACATATCGGACACAATATACCACAAAGAAATTGAACATGAAATCAAAAAACTCTTGACCAAAAATGACTTCCCCCCAAATATAATCAAAACATAATTAAAAAGACGACAAATCGAAAGAAAAAAGCCAACAGAACCTGCTAAAATATACAAATCACTAATATATGTACCACGACTATCAGAACGCCTCACAAACTCAGACTGTTATAACAAACAAGATATAAAAGTAGCACACAAACCGACGAATACATTACAAAAATTCTTCAACAAGATAAAGTCGAAAATCCCGATGATCGACAAAAGCAACGTCGTTTACCAAATACCATGTGGCGGGGAAAACAAGAACAAGTGCAATAGTGTCTACATAGGTACAACAAAATCGAAGCTAAAAACAAGGATTAGTCAACATAAATCGGACTTCAAACTAAGACATCAAAATAATATACAGAAAACAGCACTTATGACCCATTGTATAAAAAGCAACCACACACCAAATTTTGATGAAACAACAATCTTACAACAAGAACAACACTATAACAAGCGACACACATTGGAAATGCTACACATAATTAACACACCAACCAACAAACGACTAAACTACAAGACAGACACAGAAAATTGCGCTCACTTGTACAGACACCTCTTAAAAAGCCAAACAGCCTCAGTAACAATCTCCACGTCAAAAAGCGCAGACGTGTAAAATAATGTATGTAAAATGATCGAAATAATGTTTAATTTATTGTATTGTAATTGTTAATTGTTTTTTGTATCTTGGTGTTAGTGCCCTGACGACGGTTTGCCGATGTGCAACCGAAATATATCGGAAGCAAATATTAAATAAAATTGTTTTCATTGTTTGTTTTAACAAACACGGACCTCGAGCCAGCCAACAAATATTTTGAAATATGGAAAGGTCGCCAGAGCCATCAATATTTATTAATAATAGTTATAATTTGTGAACTATATTTGTATATTTTTTAACACTAGATATATACATATTAATATTCTTATATTATATTTTTTAATCCTTTTACCCAGATTTTATATGGAATAATCTACGTTTTTCTATTACCAAATATGAACGTTCTGTAAATATATTTAAAATACAAGTCTCACATGCAAAATCATCATAAAGAAATTTCGAAAGGAATCACACACGAAACATCACCCACCAAATCTCTGACTCCCATTAATATCAAGGAGGAGTAAACTTTCCGAAAAGTGTGAAACACTTCTTAAATTTATCCCCCCTCTTGCCGGTGGAATTTTACAAAAGCCAATCATTTACCAGTCAGTCAGTCTAGACAAACAGTCTTATATATAGAGATTAAGATTGTAATATTGTTCCCTTATTCAACAAATTTATTATTCCATTAAACCGACTGTTATATGGAGACGGAAAACAGAGGTAGGCATTCCACTTTAAAGAGTATTGCAAGTAAAAGTGCACTTCCAAATGGCGCGACTAGTAAAGAGAGTTAAAAAAAAAGCTGAAACTTGTTATTGACAAACTGCAATATCGAATGCAACATGCGGTGGGGTATTCGTGTTGGGGTATTCGGGTTGCAATGCGGACAGAACAGTTCCTGTGCAGCGCGGATAAAGACAAGTAAATGTAGTAAATAATTTAAAATTGGCTGTCAATTTATCGTTGACTGTCATGTGCAGAGACTGACTGACAGAATTGTATTACATGTTCCTCAGGGGACGGACAAGTTAAACAGCCTGTTGACAACAAGATTGAGATGGCAATTTGTCAGCGCTGCGGCAATTTGTCATACATAAAAGGTCTGTTACTGAGACTTATATTTGGCAGTTGAAGGATCTCTATGGAGCTAAACAGACAGGTTCCAGTACAAATGTCATATGCTATATATTCTATTACCTATACAATAAGTGTAGGTTAGAATTGAAAAACAATGTTGAACATATTGAATGAAGAATAAATCACAATTAATGCAGTGAAATAATTATGATTTTAGTACAAAATATATCCTGTATGCGCTTGGGTATCAAGGCTGGACCTAAGGCTAATGTGGCACGGTTTTTGATTGTGCCACAAAACAACAAAAAATTGTGACAAGTAGGCCAGGTCAACATCAAGCTTCGGTCAGTACACAATGTTCACATGACAAATTAGAGATAAATATGAAATGATTGATGATGATTGATTACCGTGCAGCTTTAAGAAACTCTGCCAAATTGCTTGAAAGGGCAGGGTGTGTTTCTCAGTTATATAAAAGGCTGCGACCAACTATTGCCAAGTCCAGATAACTATTTAATATTCGGGCTTAGGCATATCTCTGGGCACACGCGCAGCCAAGCTACAATGGCCCATTCTGCTGCGGGCCATAAAAATGCAAATACTAGTGTGGGTGAAAAAAATCATTGCCCAAAATACGGCAAACAGGAAACTTTTTAATGCAAATACGAAAATCGCATGAAAACATGAAAACGTGGTCCACTCAACGAGGCGTGCGGCAATTGCACGGGTCCTGACAACAGGAAACGAAGGGACAACGGGTCGCTGCACTGCACTGCATAATTCCACAGTCGTTGGACGAGGCGAAAAGTTAACGCAAAGTGTTTTTTTATTTTTTTATTATTTTGCATAATAGCTTAAAGCGTTTTGTTCCGCGTGCGGTTGCAGCTGCTAAGGTGCGAGGTGCAAAAATGTAAAGCTTAATGTGAACGCTGCACATAGCGCTGCCAGGCGAGCTCCAGCAGCAGCAAAAGCAGGACCAGAACATAGCCACAGATCAGCATGAAGAAGAGCGGTGCCACATATTCCATGCCCACGGTAATGACAAAGTTTTGAGAATAACAATGCAGCTTGGTGCGAAACCACTGAGTCCGATGCTTGCGATAGATGCCCGTCTCCAGTACCCGAAGCAATCTGTGGGAATTATATATAACATTTCATTGGGTATGATATATATGACTATGTATATATACTTTAGGCGTATGAGTTCCTTGTAGCTGGAATTGCGATGCAAATGCGTGTAGAGCAATAGTTCGGGTCGAAACAGTATCTCATTGAGATTACAGATCTGCTGCTGTGTGAAATAGCGTTCCACATACGCATAGCCAGAGGATGCCTCAAAGACGAACACATAGCCGGGTCTATCGCGGACGCGCAGTATGCCCTGCTCCGCGGGCAGCCAGAGTTCCGGATTTTTGGACTGGGATTCGATTTTGCGTTTGCTAAACAAGTGAATCTCCGGGCGTTGCGTGTACTTTAAAGCAATAATATTAAGTCGAATGTATATATATATATATATAAATATGTACTAACATTTAAATAGCTCTTGGTAAAGGATTGCGGTTCCAGGCCGACGGTCAGCGAGCTGTCTGCCAGCTGTTGCATCGTCTTAATTTGCGATTTAACTGGCGAACTCAGCAGCGAGGAGACCACCACAGAAGTATAATAGTTATACATGATGAAACTAATCAGGAACAGTGAAAAATATGCCAATCGTCCGCCCGTGGAGCGTGGTGTTAGCGCTGAGCTTTGAATGCATGCAGCTCCAAAGCTAATCAGGCAGGTGTTCAGCAGCGAGGGCACAAACTGCAAACGCCAACGGCAATGCATACGCTTGGACTCCATCAAAAAGGCCAGCCAGAGCAGCAGGCCAATCAGCAGCAGGAAACCGCCAAAGAGATACCAGACCAGAGCGCTAAAAGGCTGCAGGAAAACATCGCCCCGTATGCCGGCATTGCGAGGTGTGCTAAATAGGCAAACGGAGCGAAAGTAGCCCGTCTCAATAATGGCCGACAGATGCTGCAGTCGGCCCGCTGTTGCCAGGCAGGGCGCAGAGCCAATGTCGGCTGTCTGGTCGACCACAGCGCCCACGGAGCCGCCGTTGAAGTCGCTAATGCTCCAGCGATCCTTGAATGTGAAATTCATGCTGGCAGAATAGAAATGTGGTCGCACACTCAACTGGAGCGGGGAATACCTTGGGCACTTACCCACACTGCAGCAGATCCTTGAGTATCAAGGATAACTGAAAGCCAAAGCGTACCAAACTATCGACATGCGTCTCGTTCACCTGGTGCAGAAAACGCAGCAGGTCCTCCCGCGGCCAGGTAATGGGTCGCTGTGTCACCACAGTAGCCACACGCAGCACCACATCCGTCAGCTGTTCCCGATGACTGTATCTGGGACGCATATGCAATGAGCTGAGATACCTATTTAACTTGCAATCGACCTGGCTGCACACCACCTCACAGTCGGCGGTTATATTCAGCTGCCCGCCAATGTGATTGCCATTGCTGTAGACATCGTAGAGCGTATAGATGACATTGTCCGAGTTGCCCGCTAGTCGCTGCTTGACATAGCTAACATCAGCATCGACGGATATGTTCTTGGACTTGAAGAACTCATAGAAATCAAAGAACTCCGAGCTGTCGTGCAGAAGCCAATGGTAGTGCTGATTGTAGAGCTTTGAACGACTCGCCTGCAGATAGTTATTCACATTTTTATACCCTTGTAGAGGGTATTATAATTTTGTCATGAAATGTGTAATGCATAGAAGGCGATATCTCCGACCCCAATAAGTCTATATACATTTTAGATCAGCCGAGTTGACATAGTCTAGTCCGTCTGTCTGTCTTGAAACTTTTGGATAGTTCCGTCTGTTTGTTTTAGGCAACACATATGTCAGAACCGGCCATATCGGACCGCTATCTCATATATATCATGTCATAGGAACAATTGTTCGAAAAGTAGGTTCTTGTATGAACAATTCTTTTTGTTTCTCAGAATATTGCACATTGCGACATTCTCTACTTAACCATCAATGGAAAATTAATTTCCTCCATGAAAAATGGATTTCTTTTTCAAGAAATCTGGACCAAACTCAGCATTTACTAGCAACACTTTGCTTCTTATATGTGACCAAAATCTTATCAATATCGGACAACTCTATTATATATAATAGTTATAAAGGTAAAATCGGTGGAAATATGCCTTTTTGTTTGGCGAAAATATCCGTTTACAAGTTGTCTTGACCAAACTAAACAATTACGAACTTCACATGTCTGCAAATGTGCTCGAGGGTATTTTATCTTTTGATGCATTAAACATAGCTATTGCTTCAATTCGCCTTATAGCTAAGTTTTAAAATAAGTTATAATTTCAAGCAGCGCTTACCTCCACCAATAGGCTTCTGCTTCTCAAACAGTTCAAGTCCACATATATGGCCAGCGTAGGCTGTAAGTGATCAAAAAAACGCTGCTCCAAGTGCTCCCAGTTCCAGTCATTCAAGTGCGCAAACTGATGATAGATGGACTGATGATGGGGCTTATTAATTTGTTGTGCGAATTGAAAAGCTGCAAAGAGTTAAAAGATTTTCTTGTTATTTCTGCCCTTGGCTGCTGTATATCTGAGCCCACTTTCATTTCCAGCCCAGCAATGAAAGAAAATGATGAAGCTGATGCGCGACTGCAGCAGATTGTGCAACACGAAGTTGGCCAATTGCAAGAGCTGCATTTTGTTATTGACTTAAACAGTTTTGGTCAGCGCTTTTATAGTCGCTTCTGGAGCAATTTAACTGTCCCTGTGTCACCTGTCAGTTTGTTTGTTTAAATTGGACGCCGAGCAATGCAAATATGATTGGTCATTAGGAGCACTTGCCTTAATGACGCACAGCTCGTTGCTGTCGTCGGTGCCACAATATTTCCAGGCCAAAAACCAACAGGCACACGATATAGCCGCAAATTAGCAGCAGAAACAGCGGTCCGGCAGAGTCCAGGCCCACAACTACGTTCCTATTGCTGTGATAACAATGCAGCTTGTTTTGCACCCAATAGCGAAAATGTTTCAAATGTACTCCAGTTTCCAGCATACGTAGCTGGCTAAAAAAAATAAAAAAAAAAGTAGTCACTTCCCATAGCCCATATCCGTACCCACCTTAGTTTTATTAGTTCCACAAAGCTGGAGGTTTTGAGGATCATGGTGTAGGCGTTCGTCTCGTCACGCAGCAGAATTTCATTTAGCTCGCAGATCTGGTGGGGTAGATAATGCTTTCGCACATATACATAGGAACTAGCTGCCTCTGCAATATAGACAAATCCGGGCTTGTCGCGCACCATTAGGACACCCTCCTCCGACGGCAGCCAAATGCGTTTCGGATCGCGCTGGCTGTTAACAACCTTGTTCAGATATAGACTACGTACATCGGGATAGCTTGATGTCTGAATATGCGTTAAACAATTTGTTAGTCGTACTTTCAATGGGAACATTTCATGGCTCACCTCCACATAGACCTTTGTGTATATTCTTGGCTCGATTGATACCTCAAGGTTGCTGTCCGCGAGCTGTTGTATGGTTCGAATGTTCGATTTGGGTGCTATGCCCAACAGCGTGGACACCACAACTGATGTATAATAATTATATAAAAGAAAGCAGGTTAGCATTACGGCATAGAAGACCATGCGACCGCCTGTGGAGCGCGGCAACAGCCAGGCGCCCTGAATACAGGCAGCACCAAAGGACAACAGGCAGCTGGTAAGTAGCGAGGGTCTAACATTTACGTTATTTAGCTTGCGTTCCAGAATAAACGTAAACCAGAGTAGAACGCCAGCAGACAGCAGCATCGAGGCGAACACAAACCAAACCGTCCAGCTGAAAGGATGCAGAAACTCCGAGAGGCGTAGCTCACCGGCAGCCGATCTTGGATTGAGGAACATGCACATCGATCGAAATGAGGAAAACCAGGCCACGAGCTTAAAGTACTTGGTGCGTCCACTGCTAAAAAGGAAACCAGTTGCACTTAGATCGACGGTTTCATTGCGCATATCCCCAATAAGACCGCCGGACAACTCCGAATCTGACCAGCGATCGCGAAATATATAGCTAAAGCTGCAGAGTTTACTTGATTTTAAATTTGTTTTTTTCTAATATATATGCCTGTATGCCTACTTGCAATCCAGCATTTCCTTGAGCACCTCATAGGCTTGGTAGCCAAGCCTGGCAAATGAATCCTTATATATATCATCATCGCGGCTGAGAAAGTTCTTGATCTCGGTTTCTGGTGTGTCGATCGGCAAGGAGGTTAACTACAGACCGCATTGCTTAGCTGAAGAATAGAATAGAAAAAAAACTTATTTACTTACCACTGCATTGATTCGTAAAGTTAAACCAGTCAGAAATTTACGCTGCTGCATTCGACTTCGCTTATGCAGATCACTTAGATAGCGATTCACGTAACATCGCTGCTCGTTGCAATCAATTTGCTGATCAATTGTTATATTGAGCTTGCCACCCACATGCTTTCCCTTGTTATACAGATCATAGAGTATAAAGCTGTTGAGATTTGCACTTGGCTTGACATAGGTCAACTCTGTGCCAAGATAAAGCTGCGCCTCTGCAAAACGTTGATGCAACTGCCTCCAGCTGAAGTCCTGGTCGTAGATGAGCCAGTGATAGCGTTCTATAAACAGACGCTCCCCATTGGCCTGAGGAAGATCAGAAATATAAGAGTGTATAGCGCGACTGACTGAAAAAATGTCCAACTGATCGATGAAAAATGCGAAGCTTAATTTCTTACAGTAACTACCTTATGTGATGTATGATATATATGATGATATATGCTGGAAGGGAATTCGATTTCAAAATTGTTTGTAAACATAGTTTTTCAATCAAAATAACAGTGCTCACTTTTGAAATTAGTCTTTATAACATGCTTACATTTAACTTAACAACTATTTATCACAAACATATTTATGTAAATTCGATGTATGTCTGTTCTTGATTTCGATTCAGACCAAGCTTTTCAGAATAAAAAGGAAAATAAGTGTTCTTTATTTCGACTTTGTTCAAATCCTGTTTCAAATTGGCAATACATGTTTCTTGACAGCAAAATGACTTTTATTTTATAATTCATTATATTGGGAATCCATAGCAGTTTTACTGATTTATCTTTTATTATTTTATTTGTTATCTTTTTATACCCTGGAAACAATCAAAATGGGTAAAAAGGGTATTTGGTATTTGTGCAAATGTATATAACAGGCAAAAAGAATCTCCGACCCCATAAAGCTTATATATTCTTGGTCAGCATCAATAGCCGAGTTGATCTAACCATGTCCGTCCGTTCGTATGTATGAACACGTCGATCTCAGAAGCTATAAGAGCTAGAGTCTTGAAATGTTAAACGTAGGTCCTCTTTGTGCCCGTGCAGTACGAGCTTGTCTTTGATAATCGTAAACGTGCCTCGTTTTCAAGCAATCAAAAAAACGGCAACGGCGAAAAATGTGGAAGAAATTAACCGGCAATGAAAGCATAATATAGTGAGCACTATCTTAACTAATATATTTCACATAATTTTCACTGTCAACTTGACTGTAGCGTATTTGATAGTTTATACTGGCTACTAGGAATTTAGAATATAAAAGTGAGCTTACCGTAAACAAGACTTCCGCAGTTTGATTACAATTTATGTCCATGTAAATGCCAAGCTTAACGAGATTGTGCTCGATGAGTTTATCTTGTAAGTGCTCCATTAGTGGGTATTCCCTATTAAGGTTTAGATATTGGGTATACAGCAGTTCTCTGCTAGCTAAATGTGCAAAGCGAAGCAGTGCTATTTAAAGAAAAGAAATAAATTAATATTATTTTACAAGTTTCAGCCTGGGTCAACGCACAATCAGCCGGCCAACAATGCAAAAATAATATACTTTTTAACTTGGCAATATGCACAAAATAATATAGAATAAATTGATGTAGAAACATTTTGCCAGAACCAAACAATTAAACAACAGAGTGGCTAATAACTCAAGTGTTTAGAATCAAGTCCTTTTATATGAACTCAACAACTCAGTTAAATGTGCGCAATAAATATATATATCAAAAATATCTATATATTTCAATAGCTGACAGCTGGCAGTTGGTGACAGCTTGGTGAAAAGCTGTCTAAAAGGGATTCATATTCTAACTGATTGGGCATTTATTATTTAGGCAAAGGTTAAGTTAGGCAGCCTTGAAAAAAAAACGTTCCATGAACTTACCAACTTATATATTTATGTTTGTATAATAACTCCATATACCGACTACTCCCCCGTAACATAATGCTGCAGGTGCCGCCTGCTCAAGTGAGCCCAGGCTAGTTCCAATATTAAAATAAATATCGATGCAAAATATGATAGCAACAGGGCTATAAAGAGTGGGGCGGCGTACTCCATGCCGACATTGATGACATAATTGTTGTCATAACAGTGCAGCTTGGTTTTGGTATAGAAAAATTTATGCTTCTGCGTAATGCCCGTCTCCATCATTCGTAATTGGATTAGCTTCAAGAGCTCCTTGTACGTGGAGTTTATGTGTATGACTGTGTAAACGGCGCTCTCAGGCCGAAACAAGATTTCATTTAGTTCACATATCTCATGGGGCAGGTAATACTTCTCAATGAATGTGTAGAGAAATGAAGCTTCTGAGACGAACACAAAGCCAGGCTGATCGCGTGCTCTGAGTACACCCTCTCTGGCAGACAACCAGATGTTACTGGGATTACGTCCTTCCACCTTGTTCTTAGCCAGATCGCGTATATCGGGTCGTGGTGAACTCTGAAATGGAAGAGAAACGTGACTTCTGATGTAAAAGGGTATTTTATGCTGAAGCAGCTCACATTCAAATATACCCTGATAAATGGTATAGTTTCGAAGCCCACATCCAAGGAACTATCTGCCAGCTGTTGTATGGTTTTAATATTGGAACGCACAGGCGAGCCCAGTAAGCTAGACACCACAATGGATGTGTAATAGTTGTACATTAGAAACGAGGTAAACATAACTGATATGAAAGCCAGACGTCCACCCGTGGAGCCGGGTATTAAATGAGAGCCCTGAATACAGGCAGCGCCAAAGCTTATCAAGCAGCTGCTCAAAAGCGAGGGTACATAGTACTGCAGATAATGCCGCATCCAACGATGCTCCAAGCGAAATGTCAGCCACAACAGTACGCCGGAAAACATCAGCACAGCGCCAAAGACTAGCCAAACGCTAAGCTTAAAAGGCTCCAGGAAAACGCCTGCCTTGATGCCAGCATTGTGGGGAGTTCGAAAAATGCAAATCGAGCGAAACTGGCTAACTTCTGCGGTCGGAAAAATGTGGCGCAGGCGTTCAGGAGAGAGAACAAACGCCGTTGTTGACAAGTCTGCATTTGCAGAGGTCACTTCGCCCAAGGCGCCACCCTTCGTTTCACCTAGGCTCCACTGATTACGCCAAATATAACGTACACTAACAAAAACCGTGTTATTTTAAATGCTGATGTTAAATGTTCTAACTTACCTGAACCTCAACAGCTCCTGCAAGTGTACATTTTGGCGGTAGCCCACTCGCGACGGCCAATCCAAATGGTAGTCCTCTTCACTGTTCAAAAAGGCCAGTAGCTTTTCCTCGCCTAAGCTTAGTGGTATAACAGTGACCTGTAGCAAATGTAATTAATTGGAGCTCAAGCTGGATCAGTCCAAGATAAACAAGTAAGAGGTTCTAGTCGGGAGCTCCCCACTAGGGGATACCATGAACACTCTAATTCCAACACCAAATGCTCGCGCTAGTTTGCTTTAGTAGTAAAAAAAAAAAGTTGCCTTGGCAGGGTTCGAACTCGTAACTGTCCGGATTACATGCTGCCGACTCTACTCAACAGCCACAGCAGACAAAAAAAATGAAAACATTTTCTTCGGTAGGGTTCAAATTCGTAACTGACAGCGCTACTTTCCGCCGCCTCTACCCAACAGCCACACAAATAATTAAGTCTTAATGAGAAAAAAATGAATTAAAATAGCAGCACAGAAAACAATACAATCGCAATTGCAATGCTGTTGATAGAATTCAAAGCAGACGCGCATGAAATTCTTGGAATTTGCTTGGGCTTTGCAAACACTTTGTTTCTTAACCGATCTTGATGAAATTTTCAGCAGTAGGCCTTATTGTATTATAAAATATTCGTGTTTTCTCAAAATGAAAATTGCATTTAAATTGTGGCTTAGATTGGTTTGGCAGCATATGTAAATTGGTTGATTTACTTGAATTATAGCTATGAGGTAGTAGCGGAGAGGTGGTGATAGGTTTAAAATTAAAGATACTTTATATATATATACTATTCTAGAAGCTACATATTAAGTTTGGTGACTCACATTATTTACCAAAATTGCTCAAAAAACAGGATTTCGATATCGATTTTTGTCGATTACTTGGAAACGGGGCAAGTTATCGAATATCGGAAACAAAGTCGATCTGCGCGGGCACTAGGAGGACCTACGGCTTTTCAAGTCTCTAGCTCTTATAGGTTCTGAGATCCTTGCGTTCATACATACGGACGGACAGACAGACGGACATGGCTAGATCGACTCAGCTATTGATGCTGATTAAGAATATATATACTTTATGGGGTTGGAGAAGCATCCTTCTGTCTATTACATACATTTGCACAAATACATTATACCCTTTTTACCCATTTTCAATGGGTTCAGGGTATAAAAACATACCAATGCAACCTGTCTGAAAGTAATTCCACTCAGGTCAGTGCGCTGCTGCAGCCTCGATCTCTTGTGCAGCTCACTTAGATATTGCACGACTTCACATTTCGTATGATTGCAGTAGATGCTCTGATCTATGGTTAAATTTAACTGACCACCCAACTGGCTGCCCTTGTTGTAAACATCGTAGAGTGTAAAGAGGCTGCCAGGGTCGAAGCTTTCGGCTGGCTGTCGCTTCACATAGGTCACATCCGCATTGATGCTCAGATTAGCTCTTTCAAAAAGTTCCATAAATCGGTTCATATTTCCAGCCTCATCATAGATTAGCCAATGATAGCGATGCGTGTAAAGCTGCGCTCGACTTGACTAGAAGAAGCACATAATTTATATGTATAATTAAGCCTATATATAGTCCATATATTTACCTGATTAGTTATAAAGGGACTCTGCTCACAGCTCAGGTCCAAAAATACGCCAAGTTTTGTTAATTCACTGTCCAAATAATCTTTAGAAAAGTCAGCTAAGGACTCGTTGGATTGATTGAGGCTTATGAATTGCGAAAAGATTAAGTTTCGCGAGAAAAGTTGTGCCAGTGGAAAAAGAACTGAGAAATATAAATGTTATATAAAAAAATTTAAAAGTATTCTATGTAGAAGAAGAGGCGTTTTGTTTTTCCAGATATTATTTAAAAACATTTTAATTGGATTTTCCCTGGCTCTCTTTGGAATATTTTACATTAAATTAATTACCTGGCAGCTTCCAGCAATGAAATATGACCACATTTCTTAAATTAATTTGCAACAAATTGTAGACAATTAAATTATAAATTGCCAGATTTGCCATCTTGCATTGAACTGTCCAACAGAGCGCTGTTAACAGTTGCTTTTATAGCTAGCCCCAAAAAAAGTGTTTCAGTCAATTACACAATTAGGTTATTCCAAAATTTAGGCTGTCATCGAAATTGGCACTTGGAGTGACATTGGCTACCTGTCCAAATCTTTCAAAATTCGTGGAACCCACAACAGGTGCAAGCATTTGGCATTTTTATGTAATTAATGCCAAAGTGTATTGACTAAGAATGACAACAATTCAAAATTGCGCCGAACCCACTCCGAGTCGAAATTTATCCGAACTTTCTTTTCAAATCTACTAGAAAAGCAGAACAGCAACGCCGGATAATATAGGAGAAATTAATATACAAGGTAAGTATAGTGAGCACTTCTAAAACTAGCATTTTTTATAAAACTTTGACTAACTTAAGAATGAAGACAAATTTTAAGATTCAACTGGAGTGTTAAGTATTTGATAGGCAGTAAGTATATAAAAGTGAGCTTACCATAAACAAGACCTCCGCAGTTTGATTACAGTTTATGTCTATGTAAATGCCGAGCCTGACGAGATTGTATTCGATGAGTTTATCTTGCAAGTGCTCCATTAGTGGGTATTCCCTATTAGGGTTTAGATATTGGGTATACAGCTAGCTAAATGTGCAAAGCGAAGCAGTGCTTAAAAGTAAACAGATAAATTAATGTTATTTGTAAACATGTAAGTCTAAAGTCAATGAACAATCAATCAAAAACCATATATATGTCGTGAAATGTGTAACGCATAGAAGGAGACATCTCCGTACCCATAAATTATATGTATTCATGATCAGTATCAACAGATGAGTCGATATAGTCATATAGTCCGTCTGTCTGTTTCTATGCGAACTAGTCTCTCAGTTTATCTTTATCCCAATATCTTTATGAAACTTTGCAGAAGTGCCTCTTTCTGTTGCACGCAGTACATATGTCGGAGCCAGCTGGATCGGACTACTATATCAAATAGCTGCTAAAGGAACGATCGGTCGAAAATTAAGTAGTATGGAACATTTTTTTGTTTTTCAAGATATCTTCACCAAACTCGGCATTTATTAGTTTTACTGCTGTTAGTTGGTTACAGCTGGGCTAAAACTGTGTGAAAAGGATTCAAAATCCAACTAATTGAGCATTTATTATTTATTCGAAGGTTAAGTTAAGCAGCCTTGAAAAATGTACTTTTAAACATGAACTTACCTAGTTAAATATTTCTTCCTCCATATACCGACTACTCCCCCGTAACAAAATGCCGCAGGTGCCGCCTGCCCAAGTGAGCCCAGGCTAGTTCCAGTATTAAAATAAATATCGATGCAAAATATGATAGCAACAGGGCTATAAAGAGTGGGGCGGCGTACTCCATGCCGACATTGATGACATAATTGTTGGCATAACAGTGCAGCTTGGTTTTGGTATAGAAAAATTTATGCTTCTGCGTAATGCCCGTCTCCATCATTCGTAATTGGATTAGCTTCAAGAGCTCCTTGTACGTGGAGTTTATGTGTATGACTGTGTAAACGGCGCTCTCCGGCCGAAACATGATTTCATTTAGTTCACATATCTCATGGGGCAAGTAATACTTCTCAATAAATGTGTAGAGAAATGAAGCTTCTGAGACGAACACAAAGCCAGGCTGATCGCGTGCTCTGAGTACACCCTCCCTGGCGGACAACCAGATGTTGCTGGGATTGCGTCCTTCCACCTTGTGCTTAACCAGATCGCGTATATCGGAGCGCGGTGAGCTCTGCAGTAGAAGAGACACGTAAATTTCGACGGAAAGGGGCATGTTGTTCTGAAGCATCTCACATTTAAATATACCCTGGTAAAAGGTATTGTTTCGAAGCCCACATCCAAGGAACTATCGGCCAGCTGTTGTATGGTTTTAATATTGGAACGCACAGGCGAGCCAAGTAAGCTAGAGACCACAATGGATGTGTAATAGTTGTACATTAGAAACGAGGTAAACATAACTGCTATAAAAGCCAGACGTCCACCCGTGGAGCGGGGTATTAAATGAGAGCCCTGAATACAGGCAGCTCCAAAGCTTATCAAGCAGCTGCTCAAAAGCGAGGGTACATAGTACTGCAGACAATGCCGCATCCAACGATGCTCTAAACGAAATGTCAGCCACAACAGTACGCCGGAAAACATCAGCACAGCGCCAAAGACTAGCCAAACGCTAAGCTTAAAAGGCTCCAGGAAAACGCCTGCTTTGATGCCAGCATTGTGGGGAGTTCGAAAGATGCAAATCGAGCGAAACTGGCTAACTTCTGCGGTCGGAAAGACGTGGCGCAGGCGTTCAGGAGAGAGAACAAACGCCGTTGTTGACAAGTCTGCATTTGCAGAGGTCACTTCGCCCAAGGCACCACCCTTCGTTTCACCAAGGCTCCACTGATTTCGCCAAATGTAACGTACACTAACAAGAACTATGTTATATTGAATGCTTATTTAAAATGGGATTCCAACTTACTTAAACCTCAACAGCTCCTGCAAGTGTACATTTTGGCGGTAGCCCACACGCGACGTCCAATCTAAATGGTAGTCCTCTTCACTATTCAAAAAGGCAAGAAGCTTTTCCTCTCCTGAGCTCAGAGGTATGATAGTGACCTGTAGTAAATGCAGTTAATTGGAGCTCAAACTGGTGAGTCCAAGATAACACACATACCAATGCAACCTGTCTGAAGGTAATTCCACTTAGATCAGTGCGCTGCTGCAGCCTCGATCTCTTGTGCAGCTCACTTAGATATTGCACGAGCTCACATTCCGTCTGATTGCAGTAGATGTTCAGATCTATGGTTATATTAAGCTGACCACCCAACTGGCTGCCCTTGTTGTAGACATCATAGAGTATAAAGAGGCTGCCAGGGTCGAAGCTTTCGACTGGCTGTCGCTGCACATAGTTCACATCCGCATTGATGCTCAGATTAGCTCTTTCAAAAAGTTCCATAAATCGGTTCATATTTCCAGCCTCATCATAGAGTAGCCAATGATAGCGATGCGTGTAAAGCTGCGCTCGACTTGACTACAAGAAGCATATAATTTATATGTATAATTAAGCCTATATATAGTCCATATATTTACCTGATTAGTTATAAAGGGACTCTGCTCACAGCTCAGGTCCAAAAATACGCCAAGTTTTGTTAATTCACTGTCCAAATAATCTTTAGAAAAGTTAGCTAAGGACTCGTTGGATTGATTGAGGCTGATGAATTGCGAAAAGATTAAGTTTCGCGAGAAAAGTTGTGCCAGTGGAAAAAGAACTGAGAAATAGAAAAGTTATATAACAAGTTTTACAGGTTTACTACGAAGAAAAAGGGCATTTCGATTTTTCTGATATAATTTAAACACATTTTAATTTGATTTTCCCTGGCTCTCTCCTTTGAATATTTTGCATTAAATTAATTACCTGGCAGCTGCCAGCAATGAAATATGACCACATTTCTTAAATTAATTTGCAACAAATTGTAGACAATTAAATTATAAATTGCCAGATTTGCCATCTTGCATTGAACTGTCCAACAGACCGCAGTTAACAGTTGCTTTTATATCTAGCCCCGAAATAAATTGCCTCAGTCAATTACACAATTAACTTATTATTCCAAAATTTAAGCTGTCATCGAAATTGGCAATTGGATTGACAGCGGCTACCTATCAAAATTGTCCAAATTTTGTGGTACCCCCAACAGGTGCAAGGTGCATTTGGCGCGCGTCACAACAAAGCGCACGTGGCACACACCGCAGCAGGCAGTGCGCCTGCGCAGAAGCTCGAAACGTAAACAGAAGCAAAGCCAGTCACATTTATGAATGAAGCCACCCACACACACACACACACACACACACAACGCCTGCCACTCCCGGCGATGCAGTGTTAATGGATTTTGTGCCATGATTTAGCTCGCTGTGGCAGGGCGTCACTGATTTTGCGCCTTTTGCATGTCCGTGAATGTGTTGCGTGCGTGTGTGTGTGTGTATGTGTGTTGTGTGTGTGCGTGTGTGTGTGTGTGTGTGTGCTGTCTGTATGTGTGTGTGCGTGCTTGTGCTTTATGCTGTCGGCATATCCTCTGCTCATGTTCCCAGCTGCACAATTGAATCTTGGCCAACGGTTGGGTTTTAATGTCGTTTCAGTTGGCGTTGCGCGCTTGGCGCGTCTCGACGTATTCCTCTGACCAATTTTCCTGCTAAGCGGGCAGCGCATTAAGGACTCGTTTTCCATTTCGATTCCGTTATCTGTTTGCTTGTTTGTTGTGATTCTTATTGCTGTTGACTGTAGACGTTGCTGTCTTCCTGTTTGGCCGGCGGCGGCGCAAAAAACTGTTTTGCACTCATAGGAGATTAGAAGCTGATTGCGTATTGACAGCGGCGACTGATTGAGAAATTAATTGAAAAATTGCAGAAAACAGTTTGTTTTGCATTGTTAAAACGAAATCAAGTGTTGGAAATTAATTAAACAAAATATTTCAATTTAGAGCAATCGTTTAAAAACGGTTCGCATGACGTTTGTGTTGTGTTTGTGAATGCTATTTTAAAATATGTGCAGCAAATTTCTATTTGAAGCTCATTAACCGTATTAAATGCTATATAACTTAAACATAATTTAAATATACGCCATTAAATATTATAAAAATAATAATATACAAACTGGCGTATGCGTAATATTTGGGATGTTTATTACTCAGTAAGAGTCAAACCTTTTAAAAGAATATAAATATAAAATGTGCAGTGCTTTTATTTAAATACATAAACTTTATAAAATGTTATGCAAATTAAATATTATATAAATGCAGACCATAAAATGTATGATAATATTAAAGTACAACCTGGCGTATGCATAATATTTGAGATGTTCAGAATAAAACTTATTAAGAAAATGTATGCAGTGCTTATATATAATTGCATTACCTTTATAAAATGCTATGAGACTTACAAATTATATAAATGCATTACCTCAAATGTAAATTAAAATATTAACACACAACTTGGCGTATGCGTAACACTTAAGCCGTTTCTTCCTCAAATGCATAAAATGTATTTAAATAAAGGGCTATGCAACATTATAAAAATCAGATTGATTAACAATATTTTACGTACAACTTGGCGTATGCGTAATATTTAAGCTGCCTATTACTTAGTAAGATAAACTGTCTTAAGAATGTGTGTATATGCTTATACTTAAATAAAGTGCTGTGCAATGTTATATATTATGAACATCATATAAATGCTGACCCTCATTTGGATAGTAATAACAACGTACAACTCGGCGTATGCGCAATATTTAAAAATGTATACCTATCAGAAAAGAAATGCATTTTAATAACAAATATATTTTATTTTAATTATTTCTTACACTTTAATTATGCATTACAAATTGCCTGCCAAATATTCGGTGCATAACAAATAATACACAAATCGAACAATAAATGTAAAAGCATTTGAAACGCGTTTCCCTTAATTATCTCATTAGCAAAATCAACAATTACTGAAACGCAATTAAACTGTCGACTAATGCCAATTTAAAATTGAAGACAGGCGACCCCATAAACTGACAACTGCCCAATTAAAATTATGTACAACTACAGAAAACGCCCAAATATATTAAAAATCAATTGGATATGCGGTCGACCCGCACGATTACCAAATGCTAAATGCAAAAACCATAAATATGATATGAACAAAGTGAACAGCAGCAGCAGAAAATAAAAAAAAAATATTAAGTGCAAACAAAACGATATTATCACAAATTGAATAGCACATTAGAGAATTAAAAATCGGATAAAAACGTAACCAGTAAATGCGTTGGCAATATGCAGGATAGAAACCGCTGCAGCCAATAAAACCACCAGCGATTTTGGCCAACCAAGCAAATCATTAACAAAACTATTAACTCTCCCAAAGGGATTTGGGGGTAAATGCAATTTAGTGTGTGCCTTCTGTTATTTACGAGTGTGATCATATGGGCTTAAGCTGCAATTTAGTAATAGACAAATTTACATTTCCCGCAGTTCCGCGTTTCAAATTTACATAAGGCAAACCAAATACAAGCTGAGCTAGTAAAAAGCTTCATCTAAAGTCTCTTACATATTCGAAAATAAATTTACAAGAAATATATCCATAGAACAAACACTCTCTTTAAATTGAGTAGCTCAAACATTTCGCTTAAATTGGACAATGTCAGCGCTTTGTAATTTTTTTACCCTCTTTTACAAGTTCTTAGTTTTCTTCTGATATTTTTTTTGGTAAGATTTTTTGACAGCCGCCGCTTCGCGTTATAAAACATCTCTGCAAAGCAGATTCAAGTACAAAAACTAAAAAAAAAAGATAAATAAAAAAGCTGGGCATCGCACTCTTGAGATTTACATTGTAAAGTGATGCGTTTAGCTTTTTACCCTATCCTCCACCAAAAAGAAAGAATGTATGTGTATGCGTATACGTATGGCACGCGGCATGATACAACGGCCTAACAAAAACTGCATTTAAATTAATTGAATTTGCCAGAGTTGTTTTTTTGTTGTTGTTGTTGTCTGTGGGCCCTCAGTTTGAACCGAGACCCGGCCGGGGCCAGCTCAACGATATGGTCTATTGCTTTTATTGAATTGGTTTGGGGATTTGTTAGTTGACCCACAAGTCAAGTTGAGGTCCCCCTAACATCAAGTTTGCTTAAGGGTCGCATCTCAATCTCCTATGCAATTTGTGTGTCATTATGTGTGTTTGGCCACAGCAATGCATCTGTTTGTATCTATTTGTATTTTTTCCTGCTCTTCTTGGGGATCTGCATTTGCGTTCATTAAATTTGCAAGCAAGTTGAAATGTTTTTGTTTAACTTTGGAATGCGTTTGGGTTTTTGTTTGCAGCAAATTGAATGTTGAAAAATAATATATGAAGCATTCATAAGGGATATGTGCCAAAGAGTTGGCGAATTTTGGAATTGGAGACGATGCTGGGTACATAGAAAGTTATTAAATTGAGCTTAACAGAATATAGTAGAAATTTCGTATAATTGAATCATCTTAAGAATATACTTGTGCTGCAATCTTAAGAAAAAAAGGAGAAGTAAACTTGCAACACATTTCGCGGAATAATCATGTTCCAATATCAATTGATAGCACAGCTGTGCATTAACTATATCTTATTTGCATGTTACCCCAGCGTCTACTCTACAGGGGAATGCACTTAGCTAAGTCAAATGCAAACAAGCAGCATTTCGCCCGCTTTCAATGTTCCCCCAACTGGTGAACGTGTTTGTAAAACGTGAGCCAGACATCCTGGCCATACTCTGAGCAGCACGTGCTGCAGTTCTACTGTAAAATAATTACAACAATTGCATTATTTAATGCCTGAACTACATGCGACCCGACCGACCGCAGAATGAGTCAAAAAAGCTGTGGCACAAATGTTGACTTGCATTTAATTAAATTGCGCTTTTTAAAGCTAACTAGAAAACTTGTGGCTATCCGCCTTTGACAATACAATTTTACACGCTGCCTAAAAAAGGCCAAACTATATATGAGTAAAGCTTATTCTTATATAAGTTGTGCACTTGCAGATTGAATGCACAACTCGTTTGTAAGTGCTGACGCAAGGAGCAACTAAATAATGCCAGGCTCAGGCTCAGATTCTGTTCCGCGTCCATAGAAACCACCTGCTGCACCCCGTAAGAAAACATAATACATATAAGTTTATATGCACCAGATGCTTAGAAATGTGGTTAGCAAAAATATGCAGACAGAAGGCCGCAGCTCAAATGCCCTATGCTCGTCTAATTAAATAAATAAAGCTGCTAATTCGGACAAAACATCAACTTGATTGGTAAATTTAAATTTATATGAGTTTTGAGGAAAACTTTCTCTATAAAGGCTAAGAAATAATCATCATATATTGTATAATTCAGAAGATATTTTAATTACTTGAGTTATAAAAACGTATGCTTAAATGTACTCGCCTTTAGAATTGAGAAAGTTTTTTCTAACTATAAAATAAAAATCGCCATTTAACAACCCAACTGAAATTCCCAATTAAATTCCATTAAATATATTTTGTTGATTGTTAAGCTTTATAGTTAGAAATGGTTTTCGCTATTAGAAACTCAATTTATACCCTGCAAGGGCACATACGGAGGGCAACAATGCAGATGGCAGAGCCGAAAAAGAAGGCGACATATTCTATAGAGCCTGGGCACAGTAGCACTGGCAGAAAGAATGGAACATGGAAAGAACGGAAGCAGTCGGCGATGAGGAGGGGCAGCCTTCAAAAATTGAGTGCAATTTAGACGACGTTGATGGGAAAATGCGTTGAACGTGCTCAAGTTGCGCTCTACGCCTGTGGCCGGGTCCGCATTTAACCCGTTCGCCAGTTTAACAAAGGCACAAAGCGTTGGGAAAGGCGTCGCGACAACCAAAGCAAGAAATTAGAAATAAAAGCAAATGCCTTTACTGGCTGGATGTTTGCTTGGATGGCTGCTCTCTGTTTGTTTGACGAAAGAAGGAACGAAAAAAACGAAATTATTATTAAAGAAGGAAGTGTGTGGCTCAGATTACGACGCACAAATTATGATCATCTGGTTAATTTATGATGAAAGCCAATATTATGGCACAGACCTGAGTAGGGTACTCAAACATCAAGTAGTTAATGTATTTAAATTAATAGGATCATTTTTCAAATATTAAGTTAACAAAGCGGGGCATATTTTGTACAACATTTAAGCATATAATCTTATTTTTTTGAAAACAATTTAAATACATTTATGTTAAAACCAATTGAGAATTACAAACAAATTTTTGATTTAAACTGTGACTTAACACTAAATAGATATTATTTTTCGAAAATCCAACCATTAATAAACTCTTTAAATAAACTCAGCGAAAAGATTAACTAGCAAATGCTATTTTCACAAATTTTCCACAACAGACTGTTGGGTGAACGAAGCGAACATAATGCATATTTCCTGACTAGCTTAAGAAATTCAGACTCAGACTAAGCTTCAGACCATGCCTAATTAGCAGACACAGCGCCTAATCAAGTGGCAAGTAACATTGACGAGCAGGAGGCCTCGATGCTGAGATGAGATGCACCGGCTCTGAGATGCTATCAGATGCCCGCCTTGAAGGCAAGGCAAGGCAAGGCGAAATGCAAGTGGCCACAGAATGGATGTGCCGTACGGATGCCCACTTATTATTCAAAATAGTTAACGCCACCTGATGGCACCGCAAACACGCACACTCACCAAATTAGGTTAGTGGGTGAGACGTATAATCAACTTATGGGTCGCATTGTATTTTGCATAATTAGATAGATGGCGTCCGCCTTGACGCCTTCGAACCACTGACCAAGCATGAGGACCTATTTAAGGACAGCTCTCCTTATGCAATGGCAGCCCGACTGGCCTCCAGCTGCCAGTTCGTCTTGCTTGATGGCAGTTGATTTTTCATTAACGGCTTGTGGTCCGGCTGGTCGGGTTGCTTGGCTGGCTGTGCGCGGTTTTATTCGATTTAATAACTCGCCATCAATAAGGTTAAAGTTCGGGCTTCCTGTTGCCAAGATGAATATAGAAATATTATTTAAAAAAAATATATATACGTGCACTCAACATGAGCTTTATGAACATTAATCTCACGCGATTCCCAGCTGTGCAGCTTAAAAATTCATATTACGCATCCGCCATGTTGTCCTTGTGATTGTGTGTGTGTGTGTAAAAATCACTTGTAGATTAATCAAAACTTTTTGAATATACATTTTTTTAACATAAGCAAATTAACTTGCAGCTCGAGCAAAAGAAAAAGCAAAGATTTTAATAAATGAAAAACTAGTTCAACTGCCAAGAGCTTACTATTTTTTAGCATAAAGCTCAATGCTCCTGGCTAATTGGCCCAATCAAACTGCTGGCAGTTAATCAAACTGCCAAGAGCAGGCGGCAGTCGCCAGTCGCTAGTCGCCAATTCAAACAATTAAAATCATAAAACTCATCGCAAAAGCCGCCAAAGCGAACTGAAATACACAAAGACAATTGTCAAGATACAGGACAAGATAAACGGAACTAATGCGACCCAAGGAAGTGGATGAGTTTGTGAAATTAAGAAAAACGCTCGGAATGCGGCCAGTGTCGAGTGCAACATCCGGTGCATAAATGAAAATAAATACCAAGCCGGCTAGCAAACAAACCAGAAAACGAGAACTGTCAGCGGCAGGAGCAGAAACAAGAGAAGCTAGAAAACTGGAACTGGAACTGGACCTGAAGCCGTAGTAGCTGTGCACTAGCCACCGACTGGCCCACGGCCGGTTGAAGCGACAAATGTTAGCCAAACGGATGTGCAGATTAGGCCAGAACAGTTGTCCATCAGACGTCTAAACAATAGACTCAAACAAAAACAAAGATAAAAACAACAGCAGCAACAATAACAAATCTTTGCAATATGTGCGCCAACAGAGCAACAACAACTCAAACAAAAACAACATCCGGCAATGCGTCGGCTGACCTCATCGGCGGCGACTTCTCTGGCAGCAGGAGCAGCAGTCGTCCGTCCTGGCTGGCGCAAGGACAACGTTTAAACTTGCGCATATTTAAACTTTTGATTAGCTGCTGCCTTCTAATGTGCTGCATTTATACAAATGCCTGGCAATTGTCCATTGGCCATCTGGGGGTCATGGCCGGCAGCATCAAGGGGCGCGGCGAAACGCACCGACTGGACGAGATTGGCGCTGGCTCACTGACGCGCTCCTGGCTAACGCAAAGCAATAATCATGCCAACATCTCCGAATTGTTGGACAATTTGCTGCGTGGCTATGATAATAGCATTCGACCGGATTTCGGTGGTAAGTTTGCCAACAAAAAACTCAAATAAATGGTTTAAGCATGCAAAGTAATATAAGTATAAAAATTAAGACATATCTTAGCCCAACTATCTGAAAAGTATACAAACATTAATTGAAAGATGATTAAAAACATACCTTTAAGGGCCTGCTTTGCGGCTTCAACTGCTGCCCAACTTTAATGGGGCAGCTTTTTTTGTACTTGCCGGAATATCCATCCCTCCTTGGTGGAAATTGTCATCTAAGGCTTTCAGGGTTCAAATAGATATCCAAGGATCCAAGATTCAAGCTTGCTTTGTGAAAAATGCGATTCAAAGATTTTTGGCCAAAGTTTTAAGTTTTTTCCGATTTCCTTCAAACTTGGATTAACCAAATTCCACCCGCAACTGTGGAAAATTGGCGGAAAACTATTAATACTTAACTCATTTGCAAAGATATTTAAGAAAATTCATTCGAGGCGTATTTCACAACTTTCGCAAAATTCAAAACTCCTCAAAAACTAATTTCTTAATATCTATATAAAATATGATTTTGGTTGGAAAATTGATGTCTTAACTTTGAAGCAAAGAACGTGGACTGGGTGAGGCTCGGAAATAACAGCTGGTGAATATATAAATATAGCTATGTCCAACTAGACATGTGACTCTCCTATAAAGGTTTTAAAACGAAGGAAACAATGACAGATACAGCCTATCAAAATCAAAATTATAAGACGGATAGACGATAGGAATATAGCACAAACCCAATTTGCTCTTTTCACTTTCTGATCGGGTATAATAAATACATAAATTGACTGTAAATAAATATAAAGGGAGAATTGGAACACTTGAGCTTCCATCTTTGGGGTGCCATTTGTATCCGGTTCTGTGGTTTGAGTTTTGTTTATACCTTTTTGGCTGTTTACCCTTTGCCAGTTTCCTGTAATCAGCATGCGAGTACATGAGCAGATTCGCTCCTTCAGCGGAAGCGTTTAATGAAGCGGAAATCGCTGCCAGGAGACATACACACAGCTCCAAGGCGACAACAATGATGATGATCACATTGACGATGATGATGTTGATGATGACAGCTCCCTTGGCAAATAGTTAGTGTCAAAATCGACAAGAAAAATAAAAAAAGAAAACAAATTATTTACATACAATTTCATTGCGTTTTCCCCCCCTGTTATTTGCGTGCTTGTTTGTTGCGCCAGGATTCTCGCCCTGCCCCGCAAATTGATAAGCTTTTTCAATTTTCCAAATGGTCTGCACCATAAAAATTTAAATATTTTCGAAATTTAAAAGCCTTGCGGCCGGCACTCAATGAAGCTTAGCGCACATTCTCCCTGCCCCCACTTCTACCCCGGCTCACCAAAAGTTTGCGTTTACGCAACTTAAGCCCAAATTACATTGTTTTAAACACTTCATTAAGAATGGGCTCGGCCGCTAAGTGCTCCACGGTGCAGCGCCATGAGCATGCAGGATATAAGGATACGCGGCATGCAGGATGCATAACGCGTGTTTGCCAAGCTCAACGCCAAAGTCATTAAAAACTGTTCGCATAGGCAAAAATAAAAAACCAATGAAAAAAAAAAACTGCATATTAGCGCAAAATACATGAACATAGAAAGGCTCATAGATGATACGAGTACACTGCGCTTAGCCTATGGAATGGGACTGTCTACCAAGCGGCTTAAGTGTCATTGTTCATAGAGGCAACATTTAAATTCCGTTTCATGTGAAGGACTTCTATGAATTATTCATGTGAGGGAATTATGTCAAATATCCTTGCGCCATGCTGGAAAAGTTTTGTAACGAATACTTTTTAAAAAACTCAAAATACGTTTATAAAATTTAAATATAAATAAAAATTTTCTATATGAAAAATTAAATAAGACTATTTCGAGCCAAACACATTGAACACTATCTTGGATTTTGTATACAAAAGGAGTATCAAGTAAACTAAGATTCCTTTAAAGTAATAATAGGTTATGTTTGAATAATATTAAAAAACTCTTGGCATCATAAAAATCTCGAGTCAATAACATTTCTATACCTAACCAGCATAAAGTATTATATTAGAGTACTATAATAGTTCATCTTTGTTAAAATTGATTAAGCTAAGACAACTTTGTACTCTCTTCTTTTAAGGTCCTCCTGCCACCATTGAGGTGGACATAATGGTGCGTAGTATGGGTCCAATATCAGAAGTGGATATGGTAAGCTGTAAAAAACGTACAATTCTTTTGTATTTCAACATATATAACCCACACACACACACTCACACACACACACACATGCACAAGAGCTGTGGGCCAAAAGTCAGGCAGGAGACACCTTTTGAGTGGTCGCCGCCTCCTGGCGCGCCCATAAGACACGCTCTCAATATGCTTTCATTTACCATGTCTTTTGCAGACCTACTCGATGGACTGTTACTTTCGACAATCCTGGGTGGATAAACGGCTTGCCTTCGAGGGTGCCCAGGACACGCTGGCGCTGTCAGTGTCAATGCTGGCGCGCATTTGGAAGCCGGATACGTATTTCTACAATGGCAAACAGAGCTATTTGCACACGATAACCACCCCGAATAAGTTTGTGCGCATCCATCAGAATGGACGCATTCTGTACTCCAGCCGGCTGACAATTAAGGCAGGCTGTCCCATGAATCTCGCGGATTTTCCCATGGACATACAGAAATGCCCACTGAAATTTGGCTCATGTAAGTGCAAATTATAAAGAAAGAAAAAACCTAAACATTGGATGTTTGCAAGACCCATTTAATGGGTGGAGGCTGGGAGGTGGCCAGGGGGCGAGGGGGCATGGCTGTGCGCTGGCATAATTATGCATAATTGGCGCTTATAGCGCTTTGATGCGCCTTCTGTCAGCCTCATGAATGGCATGTCCGTGGCGACCACTTGTTGGAAGGACAATGAAGCATATGCTTTTAAGTCTGTGATTGTGTGTGTGGTTATGGAAGGACTCAAGCTTAGACTCATAAGCTGAATGCCATGGCATTGAATGTGCTTATGAATGTGAGCAAGAATTGTCAAGTGAATATGTGGGGCTTTGGCTGGGTTTAGGGTTTTAATGGCATAAGCCATTGATAATTATTGCTATTAATATCGATTATATAATGATATAACATGCTATCTATAAGAATTGTATGTACAAATAGCTCAGTGTACAATGGCGAACATCTATACTCTATTTTAGTATTTGAATCAGATTTCTTCTTTAATACTTTAAATGGGGACTTTATTTATTTTTTGTATAAACTATATTCAGTCTCTTTTCGTTAATACACTTCTGAATAGATGCAGCTGACATTTCAATTATTCCTGCCAAGCCAAAAACCTTTCCTGACGTTGATGTATTTTCATCACACAACTTTTTGTTACACATGTAAAATTGAAAAATGGTAACAAAACATTTTGCTAGCACCAACAAAAGCTGCTGTTACTTAACTCTAGCATATATTTAAGGGATACTTATTTTTTTTTGTTGACAACAATTTATGAGCCCAGTTAACTGCTTGAATGCCTTATCGCTAACCTAAATTAACAGACGACACCTGAACGGGGCCCGTGCCACACTTGGTATTATTGCTTCCGATTTGCTGTGAATAATGTTGCATGCAGTCAAGAATTCAATTACCCCGCAACACTCTCCGCACAGCGTCGTCGCTGTTATTGCCTGCCACTTAATGTTGACAATTTCCCATTTGATGCGACGTCGACTCACTGAAAATATTGCCAAAGTCAGCGGAATGGCGCATAGTATCCGAAAATATATATATACATATAAAAAAAAATAGGAATAAGGTAAACCAATCCGCATCCACACATGTCGCAATGTTTGGCAATTTGTGCAGCAAGGCGACAACAACAACAACAATTACAATAACAAATAAAATATCTGGCACGTGTGTTGATAGCAAACCGTTTGCAGGTAGAGTGGAAAAACTGACTGAATGGTTAGCGATGAGGAAAATATGAGGCACTGTGATTGACCCAGTCACAGTGGATAGGTGTTAGATAGTGTTAGACATTAATTGTGGGGTTCAGTAAATTTTTGGCATATTTCAAGAGAATTTTAAGGAAATTAAAGTGCAGCGGAAATTGCATAGCCAAATTCACATCCAATCCAACGCTGTCTGCACTTCTTCAATTCCAAAGGATAGAAATATTCCTAAATGATTTCATTTATATATTTTGAGTGGAACTTTAGTAGCATTGCTTAAAGTGGAGAAGGTCGTAGCTGTTGAGAGTTTTTCTATAAAATTAGTCAAGTATTGACACATTACATGAAGGCTACCGAAGACTACTTGGAAGGTAGTGATTTAAGCCGGGCTACAGATCTCAGTCTACCCGGGTCTAATTTACGAAATATTTGTAAATTGCCGAGACGTTTAGCTAGTAAAGGGGGAAAGGGTACTTGCCGGGAAAAATCACAGCATGGCAACCGTACTAGCTCGGGGGTTTTTCGTGGTTAATGAATGTATTACCACGAATAACCCATAACAATCTGGGACAATATCCACGGGTTCAGGCCGGACTTCTCACACCGGGACTGGTTCCTGAGATGAGAAAAATTATTGGGTATCGCTTTTTCTACATCTATAAAAAGATAAAGACTCCGAAAGGATGAAACTTCTGAATTTATAATAATTTATAATGTTTAATAAAAATAACAATAATAATAATGAAAAAGAATAAAAAAAAAAGTAAGAAAATATCTTGGCTAGATTTAGATTTTTCTTCTATAATTCATAAAGCTGGGTGATATATTTTTCCTTTGAATACTTTTCATGACATTCATTTCATATAATTTTGGGTTATGGGAAGTATATCAAGTATTTATGAATATTAAAATAGTAGACCAGTTAAAAGCAATGAGGGACGCAATAAGTTATAAAAATCAACAGAATCGTATATTAAAACGAATATTTGAATCATCTTCAGCCAGATATCTATTAAGTCCAAGCTAAAAAAGTCCGGGCACAGTTAGCGAATTGAATTGTTGCACCACTGACGAGAGGTGATCACTTTTAATTGTCAATTGTCTGGAATAACAAATGTCTGACGTTGAATTTGCACCCACTAATTTTGTTGCTGCCATTTGGCTACAGTTGGCTACACGACGTCGGATGTCATTTATCGGTGGAACAAAGAGCGACCTGCAGTTGCCATTGCGGAGGACATGAAATTGTCACAATTCGATTTGGTCTATTGTCCGGCGGGTAATATAACGGACATTGTTTACAAGGCAGCCGCTCCGATGCCCCAGCACTACAACAACAAGGACACGTTCTCATCCAAGCAGCCGCCCAACCCCAACAACAAGAACAACAACAACAACAACAACAAAGTGATGACAACTTTTGCGGGTCCGGGTGCCAAAAATCAACATGTCCGTGGCACTGGCTTAAAACTAGACAAAGGCGCCTTCGGCTCGGGACGCGGCGTTGCCGGTGGCGGCGGACTTGTCACGAATCTGGCAGGCAGCATCAGCTTGGAAACGCATCATCCATGTAAGTTGTCAGCTTAGTGTTGCGACTTGCAGCTGTTAATCTGGGCCATCTCCCTTCTATAGCGGAATACTCGATGCTGATGGTCAATTTTCATCTGCAGCGGCACATGGGCAACTTTCTGATTCAGGTCTACGGGCCTTGCTGTCTGCTGGTGGTGCTCAGCTGGGTCTCCTTTTGGCTGAATCGTGAGGCGACGGCGGATCGCGTTTCTCTCGGCATTACCACGGTGCTGACCATGACATTTCTGGGCCTAGAGGCACGCACAGATCTGCCCAAGGTGTCGTATCCCACAGCGTTGGACTTCTTTGTGTTCCTCTCGTTTGGCTTCATCTTTGCGACCATTCTGCAATTTGCTGTCGTCCATTACTTTACCAAATATGGTTCCGGGGAGTGTTACTTTATTATTGAGGAGCTGGACTCGGATTCGGCGGAATCCGAAACGGATGCAGATGCCAGTGGTCAGTCGGACTTTCGTGGCAGCAGTGAATCCAAGATCTATGAGGTAATACCGTTGTCCATGTGTGCCATCAACATGCCAGCATCCGGCAGCAGTCGCCTGGGCATGCTCCACTCCAGACGCACCACGCGTAATCGACGCCACGGACTGGCGGGCTTTAGCTTCTGGCGCTGCCTGGACTGGTTCAGCTGCCGGCGACGACGGCGTCAGCCTCGCAAGGCTACCTGCTCCGATGAGGATGAGGAGTACGACGAACAGACGCAACTGCGCTTCGATGAGGCGCCCTGCACCTCAGCAGCTGCAGCGGCAGCGGCGGCGGCGGCGGCGGCAACAGCTGCACAAAGCCCACCGCCCACAGTGGGACGCAGGCGCATGTCCTTCTATAGACGCGAGGAGCTGGAGGCGCGCCGCAAGGGCAAACGCACACCGCAATACAATTCGGTATCGAAGATAGATCGTGCCTCGAGAATTGTATTCCCATTGCTGTTCTTTCTGATCAATGTGTTCTACTGGTATGGCTACCTGTCCAGGAGCTCGCGCATTTTGGCCAATACGCAAACGAGCACCTGATGTTACCTTTTAGCAATTTAGACACAGTCCCTAAAGAAGTCCAGCGTTCCACAAGGAAGAGCAGCGGCACTGGGAGAGTGTTAAACTATTCGATCAAGGTGATCATTACGGCTTCAGTTATTTGCTCTTAACCTGATTTGCTTACTGCTATGAACGCTTTTTGAGATTTCTTTACGCGCTAAATTGCTAAACATAAAATGCTAAATTTACATATCACAGGACTACAACTTGTACATATATACATAGGCACATAACACTATATATATGCCATATGTATGTGTATCCGATACATCAATATTATTTGTACAGTTAGCCAATAAGTTGCCATTTACTTGAGCTTTTAAACGCTTTGTTAAAATACAATATAACTGCTAATTCTAATAAGTGCTTGTTAAACATATATTTATAGCATTAAATTGTTCGGTTCGCCCAAAGAGCTTGACGAGATATTCTTCTCTGAATATAAATGTGCTGGCTAGTAAATACTTATCAGCAAAAATATAATACGAGCAACTGTTGGTTACTAATAGTAAATAAAACTCAAAGTAAAAGCTGTTGCTATCATAAATTACAGCATAACAATTAAAATAATTAAAAGCTAATGGCATAACTTTAATTAGCATTTCAACTTGCCAGCACATTGAGTAAATATATATATGTATCTGTATGTATTTGTAATTAAATGGAACTAATAATATTATGTACATACCAATCTGAATTGCGTTTCGGTTACAATTCCGCCCAGACAAAGATAATAGCCCACATATGGAAAACACTTAACACAGATTAGATATCTGATAAGCTAATACTATCGCCCTGCATTGTTCATATCATCGGATCACTTTATTGATTATGCAAAATGCTTAAATATATGGCAATAGATTGGCCAGTTTGGGTAGAAAAACATCTGGCCTGGGCAGCTGGGGATTCGCATGCAATGTTTCCAGTTGATAGCTGCCGGTGCCCACCAAAAGCGATTGCAGATTGCAATTTCTGGCAAAGGTGACATCGATTTTGCAGCTACAAAGTAAAACAAATGACATTGATTGGCGCAATACTCGCTTAAATGTGCACCTGCTTACCAGTCGCCAATCATGAGCGTGCGCTCGGGCTGCAAGGCGGCTGCATTGAGCAGCGGCTGTAGCACCAAGGGATTAGGTTTGCCCATTTCCAACGCCTCGCGTTCCGCACAAGCCTCAATGGCGGCAACAAAGGCGCCTGTGCCGGGTATGTGATATGACGGATACTTGTGCACCGCATCCTTGTTGGTGACGAGAAAGGCGCAGTCCTTGTTGCTGCACAGTATGTGACAGGCGCGCGCAATTTTACAATAGCTGAAATGCTCGTCCCAGCCAACAATTACGGCGCCCACATCGGCAACAGCTGCGGGCTGGCTAAATTCGCGCTGTACAAACTCCTGCCACTTGACGTCTTGCTGCAGCTGCTCTGGTTCGCCTGCTCCAAAACTTTCAATGCCCGCGTCATTTAGTTCCCTGGCAATTGCCGCATTTCCAACCACATAAACCCGCTTTGTAATGTCGGTTGTCTGCTTCAGATAGTCCACAATTGTTTGCGTCGGCGAGATGATGTGCGTCTCATTGGGTAGCTGAAAGCCTAGACGTTGGGCGCGCTGCCAAATTTCGTGGCGCGTCTTTAGGCCATTATTTGTAATTAAATAAACTCGTTTGCCGGCACGTGTCTGCAAGGCATTCAGCACATCAGCGGCACCTTCAATAGCCTTGTCATCGTGCCACAATGTAGCTGTTAGTAATTCACATTATTAATAATTATTTCAAGCAATTTTTAAACCAGCGCGCCTTATCATAATTAACCTCATTTGAAAGTTGTTATCGATAAAAGAAACTTTAAAGTCGATATCAAGATATCATTAAACGATATCAAGCTAAACTGATATCGATTAGAGAAGGCATTTAAAAGCCTGGTGGCAGCTCTGCAACAAGTGGGATCTCCCTTCTCCTTCTCTCTCTTTCTCTCGCTCGCACATACACACAGATGGCAAACTCACCGTCGCAGTCGCTGATAATTGTGTCGAAGCTTTGCAACCAGCTGTTCACCTGCTCGGGCTGAAGATCTAGCAAATTGATGGCGCTCGCCTTAAACATTCTGTAATCGCGGACTGATTGTTACTGTTGGCTGTGTTCGCGTGTGTTTGTGCCTCGACTGAGCGTCAACTCAGCGACTCATCGTGATTTTTAAAAGACATGCTGTCTCGCTCACACAAGTGGCTGCGTTGCGCTACAGACGAATTTGATGGATGGTTATTTCGATAAGCACGCGCAGTTTACAAAATAATTGTAGTTTTATTGTAAATTGTACTATAAATTTATGTAATGTTTTGTTAAAAATAAATTCCCTTCTATTGATAATTTTAGTAGCGTCCCTGAGCGGAATCCATTAGCTGAATAAATATGAAAAGCAAATACAAATTAATAACTTCCATGTGTCATGGTGTTCACAATGGCAGGCAGCAGGTCCCCCAATTTTGGCAGGTACACATCTGGTATCAACTTCCTGTCCTCCCGGTTCGAGCTTTGCTTCCACCGCTGCACATCGCACAAACGATGAATGCCCGTGCCCACCAGCAGCGTCTGAAATCCACAATTATATCCAAGAAGAATGTCTGTATTGGCACGATCGCCAATCATAAGAGTCCGCGAGGGATCGATCTTCTTCTGCTTAATCAGCGACTCGCATATGGCCGGATTTGGTTTGCCAATGACGAAGGGTTCCCGCTCCGCACACGTTTTAATTGCATTTACAAAGCTTCCGCTTCCAGGCACAACAAAAGATGGCATAGGAAAGCGTTCATCTGTATTGGTTGCAATGAACAAACAGTTTGGATCGCTCAGGTAGGATGCAGCTTTTGTCATTTTGGGAAAACTGAAATGCTCATCAAATCCGACCACAACAGCGCCAATATTCGAATCTAGCTTTAAATGCTTCGCCATAAAATCGCCCAGATTACCTTGCATAACATCCGGGCCAACGCGCGTGTGCTTTATACCAACTGCGTCCAGTTCCTGTGCAATACCTTCCGAACCAATAATATAGACGCACTTGTTAAAGTTGCGCTGCTTCAGGTACTCGGCTGTTGCATGGGCTGTCGATATAATGCCGTCCTCAGTAATGTGGAAGCCCAGCTCCACACCTTTGGCCAGCAGCTCGGCACGCGTTTTTGTCGAATTATTTGTGCAGAAATAAATGCTCTTTCCCAATTTTTTTAACTGGTTCATGGCATCCACGGATCCGCCAATCGCATTTCCATATACCCACAGAACGCCTGTATACCAAATTATATAATATTCATTTTAATATCTAAAATTGGATCGCCTGTTATCATTATACATATATAAAACAAGCCCCCCAAAGTGTGAAATAATACTCTATAAACTTATAAATCATCAATAATCGTATTTTCGTCAATTGTAGCAGCTTTCAAGTGTCAAGATCGCCGCACCCAACTGACATTGTAATTTGACATTGAAATTTGCGCGGCCACACACACACGCACACCCATAAATACATATGTATTAGGTTTTGACAGACGACATAAAGGGAAAAAGTGACGTGACCGCCTGCTTTTCGGAAAAGTAGTCTTAACTTCCAGAATTACGCAATTTACATTGACCCACAATCCTTCATTGATAAATTCACACACTCACCATCACAATCGGATATAACGGAATCGAAACTGTTTAGCCAGGCAGTGACCTCTACAGGTGAAAGATTCAGCAAGTTGGTGCACGTTTGTTTATACATTCTGTTAGTTTCGCTGTATTTGTTGAAGAGGCGTTTGGACCGGGACCCTTAAATGCCAGTTTACTACTGCAGGTTATCTATTAATTACAAATATTCATTCACTGATAATTTATTTATGTATATCTACTAGGGGATGCGTTTCAGATAGTCTGGTAGCACCGTTACTTATCAGCTGTTAGGATGGTGACACAGCTGCTGAAAAACTACTGCAATTTTTTTGGGATTTTTATGTACATTTCAACGGCAGCTGTTAGATGAAAGCTGCCAACTGTTGGTCGCCCGCGTGCTCAAACGCATTTAAAGAAGCATTGAGTAACACTTTCATGCCGTTTATTATTGTATTTGGCGCTTACATATACAATTAATTACTTATAGTACAGGTTTTTGTTTTGTTGAATCTCAGCTTACTTTCTTTTTTACAAACATGCTGGAAGAACAAACAATTGCAAATAAAGAAAAATACTGTAGCTACACCAAATTGTAAGCAAAAATAATTTGGACCATCGAAAGGAATAACTGCAAGCAAGTAAAATATGGTATATATATATATATGTGTACAGTAGTGGTTCTTGGGATGGAGGGGTAATTACTGGAATCTAGAGCGAAAATTTTGCATTTTGTACCATAATTTGCATTAAATAAATCTCATTAAGCTAGCAATGTAAAACGAACGAAAAGTTTGCTAATTACAATATAAAACTATTTTACAATAATCATAATTATAAATTAAAAACTAGACACGAAACTTTATCGAGAAATTGCATTTAGTGTGCATTAGTGACACATTTGTTTTGTTTTTGCTTATGCTGTGTGTATGTGTGGGCTATGTGTGTGTGTTGTTTGTGAGAGGTAATGAGCCAAGTCTATTAACTAATGGATTTCGCCTAAAACTGTGACATTAATAAGCTACCTGGGCCGCCACTGGCGTTACCAGCGCTGCCTCCAGCGCCACCGCCACCGGTGCCCAATACAGAGCCCAATAACGCCCCACTGGGCATTTGTTGCTGCTGATGCTGCATGGGGAGCTGTTGTTGCATTTGTAGCGACGTGGGAAAACTGTTAAGGCCCATGCCCGCATTCATGCCAACGCCAACGCCCACGCCACCTGTTGCCATTGGATTGGACATGCCAGCGGTGGCACCCATCACTGGTCCACCCATGCCAGCTGCGACAGCTCCGCCGCCGCTGGGAAGACCGATGCCCAGTGCCGCGCCTGGCTCGGGGCTTTGATTCTTCTTTTTGCGTTTTTTCTCCTTTTTGCGTTTCTTGCGTTCTTTGTCATCCTCATGGCGCTTTTGTTTTTTGTGCTTCTTCTCGTACGTCTCCAGGCCAGCAGAATCTACAAAGTTATGTGATAAGCGACACATACATATACATCAATTCACAGGTAACTTACCCAGCAGCGTTGACTCCGGCCCCCCAGTGGTAATTCCGTCTTTGTGTTTGTGCTTTTTGTGCTTGTTTTTGTGTTTACGCGCAGGTGTTGCATATGTGGTGCGGTACTGTTCCGGCAGCTGCGATGCAAAGCAATCGAAATAATGAGCATGAGAGAACCTAAATTATTGAAGTTCAGGCTTACCGGTCCTGGATGCAATCGGAAGCCGGCTAACTGCACTGCAGTCAATGGAAGTAGCTCCTTGCCACCGATTGGTGGTTTTTCGATGACGCTGCGCAGCGTGCTATTTTCGACGGGATGCGTGATGAGGTCATTGATGCCGGGTATGTTGGGCAGAAAGGATGCCAGGGATTCCTTAAATTTCTTTTCCTTAAATTTGGTCAGCGTGTGATGCAGTCCATATTCGGTCATGAGATCCTTGTCGCCCGTTAACTCAGCTTTCGCCGGTGGCTCCTTCATCGAGTAGAATGGACCCGTGTGTATTATCGTCGGCGTCTTACCCAAAGATATCGTCGTTTTCAGCGTTCCCGACGAGTCCTGTCGCGCCACCACAGGCGAGCGACCGCCGTGCGGCGAGGATCTGGGTGAGTCCATCATTATGTTGCCGTAGTTGTTCATCATTTTAGAGATCAAAACGGCAGAGGCGAAGGAGCTAGGACACAGTCAGTTAGTTAGGCACACACACACACTCCCAACAACAACAACAAAGTAGCAGCAGCAGCAGCAACAACAAGGCCAGACAGCGTAGCAACTTTCGCAACTTGCTATCGGATGCTGCCGCATACACAAAAAGCGAGCAATATACGCTCAGCTTGTTATTGCGGCCGCTTGACACTTTTATGTATATTTAATCAATTATTTTTCACGTTTTATTGCGATTTTTTCTATTCAATTTGCAGACGAGACTCTCGCCATCTTGTTGTGTTCGCGTACAAGTGTGCCCAGTTAGCGAATAACTGAATATATACCATGAATGTGATATTATTAAATACCAAAGCCGCTTACAAGAAAGAACGCATTACCGATTAATAATGTAATCGCAAACCAGTCACTATCGATATATTGGCCAGTCATCATCTGCAGTTTGCCGTGTTCTAGCGCAGTATCGTGTATTTTCAGTGGAACATTGAAAATAACGTCAGATTAGTGTTTTTAATTTATAGGGCAACATAATTTACCAACTGACCAGCAATGCAGTCGACATTACGTAGAACTCTGACAGCTGTGGCCAAGGTACAAACACACAATCGGCTTCAATATCAAACGAACTCTCGAGGGGGGTTATGCAATTCTAACCTAAATAGGTCATAACTTTGGCATTAAATGCATTAGTCGATCTTTGTGACGTCAAAAACAGTGCGTACTCAAGTGTCAAGGCCGTTCATTAGGCCATTTATCAGCTGACACAGTTGATATAAAGCCAAATTATAATCAAAATATGTGTGTAAAGTGCCAGCGATTAGCGTAAACACAACAAACAGTAAAAAAAAAAGGAAAACGGAGTGTGACCATCTGCATTACAGTTTAATCTCTTCTTTCCCTTATAGACGCCACTGCGCACCAATGCCGCTATTTTGGGTGCATTAAATTCTCGCTGCTACTCCAGCACACATGAGGCGGACATTGTAGTGATTGGCTCTGGACCCGGAGGCTATGTGGCTGCCATTAAAGCTGCCCAGATGGGCATGAAGGCCGTCAGCGTAGAGAAGGAGGCTACTCTGGGCGGCACCTGTCTAAATGTGGGCTGCATACCCTCGAAGGCGTTGTTAAACAATTCACACTACTATCACATGGCCCATTCGGGCGATTTGGCCAGTCGCGGCATTAACTGTGGCAATGTCTCACTTGATCTGGAGAAGCTCATGGGACAGAAGACGAATGCAGTGAAAGCGCTCACCGGCGGCATTGCCATGCTTTTTAAGAAAAATAAAGTCACACAGCTGACGGGATTTGGCAGCATTGTCAACCCCAATGAGGTGAAGGTGACGAAGAACGACGGCACCACTGAAACCGTTAAGACCAAGAATATACTGATCGCCACCGGCTCTGAGGTTACTCCATTCCCAGGAATCACCGTAAGCGCATGAAAATCGCAGTTGTATTGTCCAGTCTGGACTTTAAGAACATTCGCACTTTTGCAGATTGATGAGGAGGTAATTGTTAGCAGCACAGGCGCCCTGAAGCTAGCCCAAGTGCCCAAGCATATGGTCGTGATTGGTGCTGGAGTTATTGGCTTAGAACTCGGCTCAGTGTGGTCGCGTCTGGGTGCTGAGGTTACTGCCATTGAATTCATGGACTCCATTGGCGGCGTTGGTATTGACAACGAGGTTTCCAAGACCTTCCAGAAGGTACTCACCAAGCAGGGGCTTAAGTTCAAGCTTGGCACCAAAGTGATGGGCGCCACGCGAAGCGGCAACAGTGTTACCGTCTCAGTGGAGGATGCCAAGTCTGGTGCCAAGGAGGAAATTCAGTGTGACACCCTGTTGGTGAGCGTGGGCCGTCGCCCCTACACCGAAGGTCTTGGTCTGGAGGCTGTAGGCATTGTTAAAGACGATCGCGGTCGTATTCCTGTCAATGCCACCTTCCAGACGGTGGTGCCGAACATTTACGCCATTGGCGATTGCATTCATGGACCAATGTTGGCGCACAAGGCCGAGGATGAGGGTTTGATCACCATTGAGGGCATCCAAGGTGGAAACGTTCACATTGACTACAATTGCGTGCCCAGCGTGGTGTATACACACCCTGAGGTCGCGTGGGTTGGTAAATCCGAGGAGACACTTAAGCAGGAGGGTGTTGCCTACAAAATCGGCAAGTTCCCCTTCCTGGCCAACTCTCGCGCTAAGACGAACAACGATACCGATGGCTTCGTCAAAGTGCTGGCTGATAAGGCAACCGACCGTGTGCTGGGCACGCACATCATTGGCCCTGTCGCCGGCGAGCTTATCAATGAGGCCGTTCTAGCCATGGAGTATGGAGCTTCATCGGAAGATATTGCTCGTGTCTGTCATGCGCATCCGGTAAGCTCGAAAATCTATCAATGATATAACTATTGGATTGTAATTTTTTTTTTTCTGTTCTTTCCTGTAGACCTGCTCTGAGGCATTACGTGAGGCTAACGTGGCGGCCGCATTTGGAAAGCCTATAAATTTCTAGATCCAACCCCATTGCACCTTTCTTGCTGGAATTCGATATATTAAACTCTCCACTCGTTTGAAATTCTCAATGTGCAACTGTAACGAAACATCTCCGATCAATATATAGATTACAAAACAATGCTATATAGTTGATGACCTGTTTAATAAGTTTAGAATAAAATTGCGCGCCTATTACCAATAACTATCGCTATTCGTATTTTATTATCGATATTAGTTAAAAGATCGTAGGCACAGCTGCTCGATATATCGAAACAAAACAAAACTGTAAATTCATAGTCAGTATGGTCACTCCTATCATATGTTCAGTGTTGTCAAAATTTAGCAGCAGATCCGAGGTGTTATTTTATTTTATCCAGTGTCAATTAGTTTTCCAATTTTCTATTACAAATAAATCCAAATAGGTAACAGTACAAAATTAAGAACACTTGCAATGTTTCGCGTTGGTAAATTCAATGTAAATCGTGCCAACCGTTTTACGCGTCTCACACGTCGAATGTCGTTGGCCAAGCGTTTGCTCAATGCCAGTCAAATACAATCACCCGGAACTGCTCCCAGAGAACGAATGCCCACACCGCCCACGAGTCAATCCAGCTTAACTAGTAAGTCACAGAAGAAGTCGCAAACTGGCGACCAGGACCAGATCCAGGTGAGTGCTGTTGCTTGTGATGTAATCGAAAAGCTTGAACCGACTCGCATTGCAGCAGAATCAGCGCTGGCCACGGAAAATCTTTAGCGGCATTCAGCCAACGGGCTCACTGCATCTGGGCAACTATTTGGGCGCAGTGCGCAAATGGACGCAGCTGCAGAAAACCCGTGAAAATGTAACCATTTGCATCGTTGACATGCATTCGATTACTATGCCGCATAACCCGCCTTTGCTGCGAGAGAATATCTTCACGATGGCTGCCACACTGCTCGCCTGCGGCGTTGATCCCGCCCAAAGCACGCTGTTCGTACAGTCCGCCGTGATGGAGCACAGCGAACTTAACTGGATACTCAACTCGCTTACCACAATGCCGAGGCTGGCCCAGCTGCCACAGTTCAAGGAAAAGTCGCGAACTGTGCGTGAAGTGCCGCTGGGCTTGTTTGTCTATCCGGTGCTGCAGGCGGCCGACATTATGCTTTACAAGTAAGTGCTTGACTAGTGCACAATGGTGGCAAATCGTTTGCCCATCACCGTCTTTGTCTGATTTTAGCTAATTCCATCTGTTTGCCCGCAGAGCTACCCATGTGCCCGTTGGAATCGATCAACTGCAACATATACAACTGGCACAGCATTTGGCACGCAACTTTAATGCGCGCTATGGTGAAATGTTTCCGGTTTGCACTCCAATGATTGAGGAAAACGATGGCTCTCGTATACTGTCTTTGCGCGAACCATCCAAGAAGATGTCCAAATCCGACCTAAATCCCAAAGCCACCATTCATTTAAGCGATTCACCTGATCAAATCAAGGAAAAAATTAAGAAGGCCATCACTGATTTCACTTCGGACATCTCGTACAGTCCCAAAATTCGGCCTGGAGTCAGCAATTTGGTCAATATTCATGCTCTAGTTACCGGCCAGGACATTACGTCGGTGGTGGATGAGGCCAAGCAATTGGACACGGCCAAGTACAAGGAGCGCGTGGCCGAGGCGGTCATTGAGCATTTACGGCCCATACGCGAAAAGATTAACCTACATTTGACCAATCGCAACGAACTCATCTACATGCTGGAGATGGGCTCTGAGAAGGCGCGCAAGACTGCCCAACAGACCATGAGCGAGATCAAGCAGCGTCTGGGCCTGGGCGCCAATGCCATTCTGCCGGCATCCGTGTATGTGCCGCCGCCACTGCCGGATCACTCCAAGTTAACTGCTAGCCAGCGTCTGGCCAAAGGCGTACTTCATCCGGACGCCCATCCCCACAGCATGCCGCACTTCGAGCAGCGCTGCGAACCTAGCCACGTCGCCTCCTCGAGCATTGGTGGCGATGCTGGCGATGCGGTCACCGGAGAGTCAACAGCCAAGGTGGGTGCACCGCCTATCCGGTGTATACGTCGACCTATTGTGCCAGTGCAGACGATGCGCGTGGAAAAGTCCTTTAATCGAAGCCCCTCCCGACATATCTTTAAACTGGACACATTCAATGTGCCAAAACTTGGCTTTCGTGATACAAAGATGAGTTCTAGTAATAATCGGTCGGACCAGCGAGAGCGGCGAAATTCTTCCTTGGGCTTTGCAGCGCCCTCTTCTTTGAGCGCGGTAAATAGCATCTCTGGCTTTAAGTACGGTAACTCGAATCCCAGCCCTTTGGCTTCCATTACAAGCCAAGTGAATGCAGCTCATAAGCAGCAGGAAATGGTTAGCAGTCTGGCCAACAGTTCTTACTATAAAGCGGCTTCCAGCTCCTTTAATAGCAAGTGTCCCAGTGTGGTCAATGTTGCAGTCAACTCCGCCCCCAACCGTAACAATAATAACGCTACCAAAGCGGCTATGTTGGCCAATGCTACCAGCTCCGAGAGCGCCACCAGCTCCAACGCCACAGCCAACACAACCACCAGCGGCAGCAGCAGCAGCATAACGACGACATCTCAAGACTCAAGCGATACTACTGATGAAGATGGGGAACAGAGTGTGGAGGATCAAGAGGAGGAAGATGATAGTTATGCCACTGTCCCGTCAGAGGGCAAGATGGAAAAAACTAATTAGTCCGGTGTAAAATCCTAGCAATTGCTTTTAGTATAGTCTTAAATTACTTAAATCGCTTGTAATACATCGTGCTTATGATAAAAAATGTTGAACAATTATGTTGCCCCATTTTTTTTTTCAAATATGCGCGCCAATTGAGTTTTGCACTCAAAATGGGCTTAACGTTATGCTATTACGATGTTAATTAACAGTTTTAGTATTTATACTTGGTGCTATCGGAATTATCGATAGTTTGGCATTTTGCTTGTTATCAAATGCGGTCATAATGGTCAGCTACCTTAGTATTTTCGTTTTATATTTTGTGCGGTTCGGATGTGCGCGCGGGTAAATTACGTCGTTCCGTATCGTTTCCTCGCCTATGCCTGTGCCTGTGCCTATGTCCCGGTGTGCGTGTGCTTGTGAAGCAACAAAATCACAACCTAATGGTATGCAAATTCGTTGCCAACGTTACGCACGCGTAAAAATACGAAACCCAAGCGTTTGTGTATTCATAGAAAAAGCCGCAAAGTGTAAAATATAAACACGGCCCGCGCGCCAAGTGAAAGTGCAGTAAACAATTGCACAAATTGCAACATTTTGGCCAACACACGAAAAGTACAAAATTCAACGCAGCAATTATTTAAAAAAAAATATAAAATTCAACAAATTTCTCAACTACCTGTTCTTCAAAGTTCGTCGGAAGCAGCAGCAGAAACAGCAGATCAAGAAAAAGGTGCGCAACAACAAGAAATTTAACTGTTGCTTCTTCTCTACTGTATGTGATCTCTCTCTGTGTGTGTGTGTGAGTGTGTGTGTGCATGCTTTTACAAAAATGCATTTCATATTCTGCTACATTTAACGGTTATATGTACGCACATACGCAGCGCAAAAGAAATTTAGATAAATATTTTGCACAACAGTTTTAACAGGTGCGTTTTAACTGTTTTAAATAATTTGGAACAGCAGCTGTCGACTGTTCTCTATTTGGGCTCATTAGCGGTAGATCTCATTAGTCAGGGCATGAGAGCTTAAAAGTTTGTCGTGCAAGTTTGTCATGCTGTCCAGCTGTTCGTTCATCTGTCACACGATTAACATTTTTGAATTTGTTGGTGTATTTAATTAAACATTCTTATGTTAATCAAGAAAAAAAAGGCTAACATTCTTATTCATTTTGTTATTTCTTTTCTTGGAATGTCTTTTTTTCACACGCAATGTTATTACTGTTATTGATTCTCAAACTGTAAGCGGCTGGGGCTGCATTGGTTGTTCAATACATTTCATTTTGTCGGCGTTTTTATACTCTATTCAAAATGTTAAAATACTGAATATTGCATTTGTGAAAAAATGTATGGCATAAATCAATATATTTAAGAGTTCTATATTTTATTTCACAATTTACAGATAACAAATTAGTGTCTTGGAGTTACAGTTTTAGAGCAACTACCAATTGCTGTTTTTTCTTTGTGAACAGAGTATTGCGCAGTCGGCTGCACAGTTTTCACTTGATTTATGTTTTGCTGTACGCGCAATTAAGTAAATGACTTGTCTTAGTTTTAGTTTTAGTTACAGTTGTATACGAGTTAGTTGTAACATTTGCACAAATGCGAAATTCGTATTTGCTTTTTGTTGTTGTTGTTTTGCCATTTTGCTGCTGCTGTTGTTGGCTTAGCCATGTTGTGCCAGTTGGCGCCATCGCTGACGTCGACGTCGGCATCGACGCTTTTTGTTTGGTTTATTGTTTTCTCTGGTTTGGTTTGGGCTTTTGTGTGTTTGCCTTTGAGGAAGTTTTTTTAAATAACCTGCACGCGTTTAAAGTAGATTAGGGGTATATATTGTAAGCAATAGGCAGTTGTCGATATCCTTTATCCCATAAAGAACAGTAAAAGCTTGCACGCTTACAGATGCTAATAAATATCTAATAATAAGCCTAGTATTTAATAGTGCGGTGCATTGCAGATTTGATTACAGGGTATTTCCTAGTCGGGCACGCTTGAATGGTTAACTCTATTTTCAGTGGTTGTTGCTTTTAATTCATTTGCAGAGATTGTGATTGCAACTTCACTATCAAGCAGCAATCGCAGCAGTCGGCGAGGCCGGGGTGGGGGCAAGAATGAGACCAAGTACAAGTACTTCCGTCTGTTGTTGCTTTAGTTATGGCCACCTGCGTGCAACAGGAAACGAACAGTCTTAGGACATGGCGATGCGACACTTGAGGCTGCGTTTTGGTAATGCGAAACCCACTCAAAGATGCAGCAGCAGCAGCCGCCGCAGCAGCAGCTGCGTTCATCCTGTTTTTCTTCTGCTTTGCTGCTGCTTTTCATTGCATCACTTTTTGTCTCGTTTGTTTCCTCTTCTTCTTTTGCGTTATGCATTGTAATTTGATAGTTTCTCATTTTTCCTCAAGTCCATTTGGCCCCTGTTAACATTGCTTGGCGCTCTAAAATTACAGCTACCCCTACCCCACGTCTCCCCTTACTTTCAACTTCTCCATATCCATCTCTTTCACGCGTTAAGCTGGTCTAACGGTTCTGCTTTGCTGTGCACTTTGCATATTTTCGCTGCCCAAAATTTGTTCGTCGTTCTTGTTGTTGTTGTTGTTATTGTTGTTGTCGGGCCTTGGCACAGTTATGCGGCTTGGCCATGTTTTGTAGTTGTTGTTTCTCTTTTTGGTTACTTGTTTGTCTTTTGGCTTCTGGGCTTTACTTCTGCATTTGCAGTTTGGAGTTTCTTTGGGCTTGACCTGTTGTCAGTTGATTCATTTTCAAGTATTATTTAGAGGGACGAAACAGGGTATTGAAGTAGAATACCCTACATGATTACGCATGTGCTTTGTATCGTATCCAAGTCTAATCAAATTGGAAATAATATTAGTTTAGATCTGGTCAAATTATAATAGTTATTATTAGTTAAGATCACACAAAATATTTTCTACAAACTGGCTTTGAATCGAACATAAAACTCGTGGGATGCGAATCCATAAAAAAACAAAACCCGAACCGAATGATATACACATAAAAATAATATTTAGGTTAAAAAAAACTTAAGTTAATTCCAATTTTTTTTTATTTTCAATGGTATTCACAAAAACCAAGCATAAAGAATTAAGAAAAAAGCGCTACAGTTATGAACTTTAATCAAAATGCCATAAAAAATTGAATAAATTATTCATTTGTAATTCCCATTAAAATAAATATACATATTTAATTTATTAAGTTTTCGCAGAACTTGAACAAATGCATAAGTAAATGCAAAAGGAGTGAGGGAAAAAAACCGCAGCTAAAATTATAATTAAACATTTTGCCGCATTTGAACTTCAATTCGATACGATTCAAGGCAAACAAGTTGAGAAGATTTAATTCTGTTTTTAACTTTTTATTTTTTTTTTTTGTTTATAAACAAGTCAAAGCGAGAACTCGTGCCAGTTGTATTTTATTGTTGTTGCCAAAAACGAAAGAGAAACAACAAAAACAATTGCCTCGACGAGTAAAAAAAACGTGTCAGCAGCAGCAACAAAAACTGTGGCAGCTTTTTAAGCTTGAGAAGCAGTCAATAAACAAGAGAAGATGTTTAGAGACCGCATAGACAGACGATGACATCTTCAATTGAGTTATAATTGGCTGGAAAGCCACTTGAAAATGGAAATGCAGTCGTCAGCAAACTAGGCCAAATGGTGGCATGCACCACCTGCCTTGGTTCAATGCACCATCAATGAAAATGTGCATGGAATTGATCAAATGTGTGTTGGTAATTAGTTCGCCTAAAAAGGAAAACTCCAAGGCATGTCTAATGCCAAGTCGGCTACCTCGGGCACGTTGACAGGGCGACAGTTCTTTGTCGCGTCGCGCAGCCAGACCTAAGTAAACAATTGAGTTGGGCTGGGGTGAGGTGAGGTGAGGTGAGGCAATGCAAACGCACACGAAACGAACTCAAAGAACTTTAAGAACTGCAACGACTTTAAACAGGTGTCGACCACTCTGTTGTTGCTATTGTTTGTAGTTGTTGTCATTGTTGTTTATATTTGTATTATATTCTTTTGTTCTGTCATGTGTTGCGGCTTGTAGTTTTGAATGTATCTCACAGACACAAGTACGTGGCAGATAGGCAGACGAACGGACTTCCGCATTTCCTTAAGGCTGAGCGAGACATATTTAAATACTTGGGGACATGTATAAAAATTACTTTTAATCCTCTTTGCGCTTGAGAAGGTCACAATGAAGTATACATAACATTCATGAGTATCATCTAGTTTCTCAGCAGTCTTAAAATTTTGTACACTCATCGGCAACAGTCGGTTCAGAACACTATATCATTGGTTCAGAACAGGGACTATCCATCAAAAACATTTTAATTTTACAAAAAAACCTTTTTTGCTTATCAAAAGTTAACCAAACTGAGCTTAAGCGAGTTTCACTATACTTCTTCAATATATATCATAAAGCTGCCTCAGGAACAATAAATCTTAAACTGAGCTTTGCACAAGGAACCATTCGATATGCTCCTTTCATATGAGCAAAATATTCTTAGCATCAGATGAAATATTTTTAGAATTAACTGTTTCCGCCCATATTAGTCTTGCGGTGAGAATCTTGAAGATAAAGAATAAATTTTCGTTTATTAAACCCGCATTTGCCACCCAAGAACGTATCAAATAAATTCTCATAAAGATCTTTAAAAATGATTTTAAGACTGATCGATGAATGATTAGCAAAATAAAAACATTCATACAACCGTTATTCGCAATTTTTCCACACATGCGGGTGGAATTTCAAGTAATAAGGTAACTACAGAGAAAATGTCAGCTTCCTAGCTTTTAGTCAGTCAGTCAGTCAGGACAAACAGTTTTATATATAGAGATAAGTTTTCTTTAAGTATAAGTTTATTATATGCAACGACATTTAATCTTGGGCATCATTATTTAATGCAATTTTTTATTCATTCTTTTGTCCTCCTCCTCCTCCTGGTTAATAGATAGACTTGTTAAAACACCAATTTTTATGCGCATATGCACAGCCATTATTTTATTCTTTTAAATCTTACATTGAAGTCGCTATTGAGTGGAATTTTGCCTGGCCCAACTGCAACGCCTGCCACATTATTCATTCAGGAAAGTAGTCAACCA